GTTGTTGTTGTTGTTGTTATGTGCCATCAAGTAGAACCCAACTCATAGCAACCCCTCCTTGGGTTTCCAAGGCAGTATCACTACAGAAGTAGATTGCCCAACCTTCCTTTTGAGGAGTGGCTGGTGGATTTGAACTACCAACCTTCTGGTTAGCAGTCAAGTACCTCAGGCACTACACTACTATATATTTAAGAAATACATCCAATGTTACGTATTTAAAAATAAATAAATAAACTTATGTACTCAAAACACTACTGGTCTACACTGATAAAATCCTTTTAATAAAACAATGACAGTAAATATCAACAGCCCTAAATTCATGTCCTTTAGCCCAATAAACTTCTTAGAATTTATCCTAACAAAATAAAGCTAAACTTTGAGATAATCAGTACAGAGGTCATTAAGAATAAATCTCCCTTCACTACACAATAGCAGCAATCAGACTTTTTAACATCTCTAAGTCTGCTAACCTAAAGATTGGTGGTTGAGATTCATCTGCAAAAAAAGCCCTGACAAAGTACTTCTGTAAAGACTGCAGTCAAGAAAACCTGTGGAGTAGTTCTACTCTTTAACACATGGGCTCACCATGAGCCAGATTCAACTCAACAGCAAGGAGTTTAAGCCTATTTTCATATATACAAAATGGAACTAATATTGTCTTAAACAGAAGTCACAAGAATGAAATGAAATAAATGTAAAGCACCTTAAAATATATAAAGCACATGAAATGCTCAATAAGTGGTAGCAATTATGGGGGTGAAGGGGAATTTTTTAAAATCTGATTCACTGCTTCACCACCTAAGTTAAGGGAAAAGAATGTGAGCAATATGGTTAAAGAGAGTTTAGAAGTTTGGTTTCAACCACCAGCATGGGACTTCACATAACATGCTCCATGAAGATGCACCTTGTTCAAAAAAAAGGATGCGAAACTGGACCCATGACTGTGGGACCCACTGGCTGTGCACATATGGCACAAGGAAGCACTGGAACAGCCACTGACAACACAGTTGATATACAAGCTGAGAGGCACAGCCCTATGAGAATGGAGTCCATTCTCCAATACTCACTACTCACTGAAATCAAAACATCTACATTGCAATAGGACAAATGCATGGATCCAGAAACAAGACTACAAAAGCATGATTAGCCTTATTTATCTTCACTCTCCCAGACTTACTATAAGACTCTGTGCTTCCCATTCCTGCAACTCTGGGTTTATTAGGTTAAGGGTTCTGTTCTTCATAAGGGGTATACTTTTACCAGGAAACATAACAAAGAGTTCCTATAAATCCCAAAGATTAACAAGAAAGTTACTATAGCTAACAAATGAATTCAGCAAAGCCACAGGGAACAAGATAAACACACAAAAATCAGCTGTTTCTATACACCAGCAATGAACAATCTAAAAAGGAAACTAAGAAAACAATTCCATTTACAAGAGTATCCAAACAATACAATACCTAGGAATAAATATAACCAAACAGGTGACATATCTGTACACTGTTAGCTATAGAAAGAAACTAAAGGAGACCTGAAATAACAGAAAGACAGCCCCTGTTCATAGACTGTTGTTGTTCTTGCTAGGTGCCATTAAGTCAGCTCCAACTCATAAGAGCCCTATGTACAAGAGAACAAAACATTGCTCAGTCCTGTACTATCCTCACAATCCTTGCTATGCTTGAGCCCACTATTGCAGCCCCTGTGCCAATTCATCTCACTGAGGGTCTTCCCCTTTTCACTGACCCTCTACTTTACCAAGCATGACATTCTTCTCCAGGGACAGTCCCTTCTGACAACATGACCAAGCAGATGAGACAAAGTCTTGCCAATATCACTTCTAAGGAGCATTCTGGCTATACTTCATAGAGTGGAAAGCTGAACATTATGAAGATATCAATACTATTCAGAATGATTTACAGATTCAATGCAATCCCAATCAAAATTCCAGTAACTTGTTTTGCAGAAATGGAAAAGCCAATTATCAAATTCATATGGATTTACAAGAGGCTCCAAATAGCCAAAACTTTTTTTTCCCATTTTAATTGTGATTTGGCTGAAAGTTTACAGAGCAAATTCATTTTCCATACAGCAATTCTTACATATTTTGTTTCATGCAATTCCCCACAATGTAACAGCTCTCTTCCCACTTCCTCCCCTTAGTTACCTCTTCCCCTGTGTCCTTCCATGCACTCCTGCCCCCTCAGCTACCTCCTTGTGCAAACATTGCCCTTCTGTTCTCCCACTATTGATCACTCTAAGGAGTGTATCTACCTGATGTAAAAGTTCACCCCATATGCTTCTTTATTGTTTGGCTGGAAGCCACAGGAGTGAGTTTGGTTCTAGACCTCAAGGGTAACTAGGGGCCACAGTCTCGGGGGTCTCAGCTCTTTCAGACCAGTAAACCTATTTTTTTTTTTTTTTAAAGATTTTGAGCTTTGTTCCACATTGCTCTCCCACTCTATCCAGGATCTCCTGCACTAATCCCTTTCTGAGTAGCTGACAGCGGTAGCCAGGCACCATCTAGTTCTTCTCGTCTCTAGGTCACATAGGCTGAGGATCACATGGTCTATAAGTCCTTGGACTAACTGCAGCCAAAACAATCTTGAAAAGGAAGAAGAAAGTAGGAAGATTTACATGTCCCAATTTCAAAACATAATACAAAGTTACAGTAATCAAAACAGTGTGGCACTGGTATACAGATAGATATACAGACCAATGGCATAAAATTTAGAGTCCAGAAATAAACCTATATACACCTAATTGATTTTCTACAAGGGTACCAACTCTTTTCAGTGGGGAAAGAATAGTGTCTTCAACAAATGGTGCTGGGACAACTGGATGTCCATTTGCAAATGAATGAATTTGGACCCATACTTCACACCACATATTAAAATTAACTCAAAATGGATCAATGGACGAAATTTAAAAACTAGTATTATTAAACTCTTAAAAGAAAACATAGGGGTAAAATTTCAAGACGTTGTCTTTGACAATGGATTCTTAAATATGACACCAAAAGCACAAACAACAAAAGACAAAAATAATTCTGACTTCACCAAAATTAAGTATTTATGTATCAAAGTACCAAGCGAGGAGACAACCTACAGAATGGAGTAAATTCTGAAGATCCATGTATCTGTTAAGAGTTATTATCAAGAATATATAAAGATGTTGGAGATGTGGGCTCAGGACCATGGTCTCAGGGGACATCAAGCTCAACTGGCATAACATACTACACAAAAACACAGTTCTACATCCTACTTTGGTGAGTAGTGACTGGTGTCTTAAAAGCTTGCAAGCAGCCATCTAGATGCAACAATGAGTCTCTCATCATTCAGAGCAAAGAAGAATGAAGAAAACCAAAGATGCACAGAAACAATTACTCCAAGGGACTAGGAGACTATGTGATCCTCAGCCTTGATGGCCATGAGACCAGAAAAACTAGATGGTCTCCAGCTACCACTGTCAACCATTTGGAGGGGAATCACTGAAAGAGACCCTAGAGAAAGTGGGAGAATAATGTGGAACAAAATGTAAAATCATTAACAAAGACCAGGTTTACTGGTTTCATAGGCCTGGTGAGACCCCTGAGACTATGGTTCCTAGTACCTTCAGTTTCGAATTGAACTCAATCCTGCGGCTTCTAACAAAACAGACAGGCATACAAGGTGAATATTTACATCAGGCAGATACATTCCTTGGAACAATCAATGATTCAAGAACATAAGGGCAGTATTTACATAGGGAGATAGCTCAGGGGGTAGGAATGCATAGGAAAGAAAGACATGAGAAAGAGGTAACTACGGGGAGGAAGTGAGAAGAGAATTGTTACATTGTGGGTTTGCAGTCAATGTCATGAAATAAAATGTCATGAACTGCTGTATGGAAAATTAATTTGCTATGTAAACTTTCACCTAAATCATAATAAAAATTTAAATAATAGTAACAATAAAAGACTACATAAAGAATTCTCACAACTCCTTTGCTTTCCCAAGTAGAAACCCACTGGAATTCCAAAAGAGCAAGTCTCTAATAGATGGGAGACACCAAGGGTAGACTGTGAAGAATCATCCCAAGGGGAAATTTGTGTTGTCCCAACCGCTAAGAGTGCATCAGCAGAGTTTCCAGCTGTCACAAATGTCAGGGTTTGTCTATGCTGCAGAGAATCACCTTGCCCAAGAACACAACTTCCAGGGAGAGTCCACATCCAGTGACTGATCATGAAGGGAGAATTAAAGACAAGATGACCATGTTGGCGCACAACAGGCAACTCTAACTGGTCATAAGTGTTCCAAAGCTTTCCACAAAATTAGCTGAGGCTTTATTATTAGGTTTGCATCTAATTCAAACTTATTATTACTCCCCTTCCTTCCAAAGGTATGAATCCCTAATAAATAAATATTTCATATACCAAATTCTGTCTCAACCTGTTTCTGATAACTACAACACAGCTATTAAATATATTTTTATTAATTTAATGCAATCAAGTAAAAACCAATGCTCCAAGAATAGACACCATGTTCATCTTGTGTTTCCCATACCTCCAACATTTTTCAGTTTGGTAAATGTCACCATACACCACTGAATTGCTCTCTCCAATGTCCCATACTCAGTAACTTATATACTTGGAAAAAAATAGCCAAATAATTTAAAAACTAATTATAAGTAAATAACCAGTACATACTTGAAGACAAGTCACAACTTACTTGTACTGAGGAAGGCTTCGGAACAGTGGTTACCACAGTAGTTTCTATTTGTGCCAATTTTTTAACAGGTACCACTGCCACTTTCTTGATTAATTGTGAGCTAGAATTCTTGAGGAAAAAATATGAAAAACACATAGTTGTCAACATTAGTGATTTAAAATCAGTAAGTGCTATGGCTAACATTAAAACACTTCATTTACTATAGCAAGATTCTTTGTTTTAACTGTCTTTACAGCCTTATGAATTTTACGCACATCTTTTACTATATGCCTAAACTGGTCATTTGGCCATATGACACTCATTTAATATTTTTAACAAAGGAAAAATGGTTCAATAACCACCTCATTTTACTGAAAGCTCAAACTAAATAAGCTAAACAAGATTTTAGCATTAAAATCTTGAATTAACTCTTTGGCTCATATATCAAATTCTAAACAAAAATCTGCTGACCTATCTTCTCAGTCACAACAGTTAGATAAAGCAAAGTAGAAAGGGAAAGAAGAGTTAATTAGTGACAAACACTGGAATCAAGTGAGAAGCAAAAGTTGGGGGAAAAAAATTGGTAGAGAATGGCATTATCACAGACTACAATGCAGCATCTTTCATTAAGATGAGGCTGCATCATCAAGAAATGTTAAACTACATCCAGCATTGTAAGCAAAGTAAAATGTACATAAAAATATTTTTTAAAACTCTGGCACATGACATAAATTGCAGTTACCATATATATACGTTCTTTCCTAAAATGCAAATTTAATACAGATTTCTTAAAGATAATCATTTTAATGGTTAAAAATGAGTATCATAAATTATAGTCTTAATATTTTTTATCACAAATTAAAACTGAAGCAGAATGCCTATTTTCTTCCCATTTAGAAATGCAAATAGTTCTTTGAATCTTCCTTTGAGGACTATAAAATCTTTGAGTATGAAGATTAAATTTTTATCATTTTAACAATTACTAAATGACAAAAATGAAAATCTCAATTTTAATTAACATACTCAAAGAAAGTCAATTAATTCAAAATTGGAGCAGAATCACCTCTGAATAATTTTTACTAGCCAACAGGTACACATTAATATGAAGATAAAGGCTGGCAAAACTAAGGAAAATGAAAAACAATTAAGGTCTATTACCGGCATCGTACAGGTTTTGATCGTTTGAGTATTCGTTGGTACTGCTGGCCTTGAAGTTATGTTACTAGTAGTGTCAGCACTTGTTAAAGCTTGCTGAGGAGATACCAACATCAATTGACCACTGTTGCTTTTGATTATAACTGTTCCTATAGTTAAAAGAAAAAAAAAAAAAAAAGTGACCTCTGAGCTAACAAATGACACGTATCCATTGCATATTTTCTACTCCGATTTCTTTCAACACTGGAAAATGTGCTAAGTGATTGTTGTTGTTGTTGTCGTTGTTATGTGCCATCGAGTCAGACCTGACTCAAAGCAACCACTCCTTGGGTTTCTGAGGCTGTATCACCACAGAAGTAGATTGCCCAATCTTCCTTCCAAGGCTAGGTGATTAACATATACTAACCTCTGCGCAAGAAGGAGCTCTGATAGCAAAGTGCCTAAGGCACTTGACTGCCAACCAGAAGGCTGGCAGTTCAAACCCACCAGCCACTCCTCGGAACGAAGGTTGGGCAATCTACTTCCGTAGTGATACTGCCTCAGCAACCCAAGGAGGGTTCACTATGAGTCGGGTCTGACTTGACGGCACATAACAACAACAACAACAAACTCTGTGCATGCTCTTGTTGTATACAATATGGCAAAAAATATTTTCATTCAAAACCATTTAAAATATGAAAACTTGAAGCATATAATGAGATATTACTAAAAGAGACAAAACACTCTTCCTTCATAACATCGAAATTATTTATAAAGTTACAGTAATTAAGATGGCACAGTGACAACCCAATACTTCACAAATTGACCAACAGAATACAGAACACCAAAACAGAATCATGTGGATATGGCATATCAAATTTTCCTAAGAGGTACTGTAGACCAGTGAGGTAAGGAGAAATAATAAACAGAGCTAGGTCAACTAGTTCTCGGAAGGAAGGTTGGGCAATCCTACTTCCGTAGTGATACTGCCTCGGAAACCCAAGGAGGGGTCACTATGAGTCAGGGCCGACTGGACGGCACATAACAACAACAGGTCAACTAGTTACCGACATGTGAAAGATAAAAGTGGATGCCTATCATACACCTGCTACGGGTTGAACTGTGTCCCAAAAAAATGTTTTAAATCTTAACCTCTATGCCTTTGGTTATAATCCCATTTGGGAATGGGCTTTGTTATGTTAATGAGGTAGGCTTAGTATAGGGTATATCTTGAGTCCATCTCTTTTGAGCTATTTGTTGTTGTTGTTATGTGCTGTCGAGTTGGACCCGACTCATAGTGACCCCTCCTTGGGTTTCTGAGGCAGTATCACTACGGAAGTAGATTGCCTCATCTTCCTTCCAAGGAGTGGCTGGTGGGTTTGAACCACCAGCCTTCTGGTTAACAGTCAAGTGCCTTAGGCACTAAGCTACCAGAGCTCACTTTGAGGTATAAAGGAGGTTAAAACAAGGAAGCAGAGCCGAGATGAAAGAAGAGAGATGAAAAGCCACACGATGTTCCTCCAGAAGCAGAAGCTCAAAAGAGGTAATGGCCTTCCTCCAGAGCGGACAGAGAAAGAGATAGCCTTCCCCGAGAGCCAGCACCCTCAATTTGGATTTCTAGGCTTTGACTGCTAATCAGAAGGCTGGTGGTTCAAACCTACCAGCCACTCCTCAAAAGGAAGGTTGGGCAATCTACTTCCATAGTGATACTGCCTTGGAAACCCAAGGAGGGGCTGCTATGAGTCAGATCCAACTAGATGGCAATGAGTATGGTTTTTTGTTTTGTTTCGTTTACCGTGAAAAATAAATTTCTGTTTCTTAAAGCCACCCATTTGTGGTTATTTCTGTTATAACAGCACTAGATAACTAAGACAATTTGGTACTGGGAGAGTAGAGTGCTGCTCTAACACATACCTAAAATGTAGAAACAGTTTTGGTATTGGGTAATGGGTAGAGGCTGGAGGAGTTTTGGCATAGTGCCTATGGCATTTGACTGCTAACAGAAGGCTGGCAGTTCAAACCCACCAGCCACTACTCCGAATGAAGACTGGGCAATTTACTTCCGTAGTGACACCACCTTGGAAACCGAAGGAGGGGTTGCTATAAGTCAGATCTGACTCAACGGCAGTGAGTTTGGTTTTTTTTTTTTTTTTTTTTTTTTTTTTTTTGATTAATAGTAAAAGACTAGATCATGTTGAAGAGACTGTTGGTAGAACTACAGACATCACAGGAATTGCTGGTGAGGATTCAGAAGGATGTGAGGAGAACTATAAAGAAAGTCTCTATTGTTTTAGAAAATACATACAGCATCAGCAAAAGAACGTTACTAGAAACGTGGATGTTAAAAGTTCTTCTTGTGAGGCTTTAAAAGAAAATGATGTACATGTGATTGGACAACAAGGACGATCCTTTTTAAGCAATGGCAAAGAACTTGTCTGGATTATGTTCAAATGTTTAGTCAGAGTGATGAACTTGATTGTTTGGCTGAGATTTCTAACCAAGATCTTAAAGAAGCTGCATGGTTCCTCTTTGCTGCTCACAGTAAAATATGAGAGGAAAGAGATGAGCCTTCAAAATAAATTGTGCAAAATCACTCAAAAAGGGATCAGGGTAGGAGATACTGGATAGAGTAGGAGGAAAACGTGGAACAAAACTCAAAATCATTAAAAAAAAAAAAAAGGTGGGGCCAGGTGGGTCTCGTATAGCCTGGGAAACCCCTGAGATTATGGCCCCTAGCTGCCTTTCAGGTCTGGAATTGAACCCACTCCCGTGGCTTCCAGCCAAACAAAAGACAGGCATATGAGCTGAACATTTACATTAGGTAGATACACTCCTTAGAGAGATCAATCATGGGAGAACATAAGGGCTGTGTATGCAGAAGGAGACAGCTTGGGGAGCAGGAGTACATGGGAAGGAAAGACACATGGAAGAGGTAACTATGGGATGGAAGTGAGGGGGGAGCTGTTGCACTGTGGGAAACTGCAGTCAATGTCATGAGACAAAGTGTATGTGAACTGCTGTATGGAAAATGAATTTGCTCTGTAAACTTTCACCCAAATCACAATAAAAATCTGAAAGAAAAAAAAAAGACCAGGCTTACTGGTCTGACACGGACTGGTGAAACCCCAGAGACTATGGCCCCTAGTCACCCTTCGGGCCTGGCACTGAACTCACTCCAATGGCTTCCACCCAAACAAATAAACCAAAAACCAAACTCACGGCTGTCAAGTTGGATCTGACTCACAGCGACCCCTCCTTGGGTTTCTGAGGCAGTATCACTAAAGAAGTAGATTGCCCAACCTTCCTTCCGAGGAGTGGCTGGTGGGTTTGAACCACCGGCCTTCTGGTTAGCAGTCAAATGCCTTACAGCACTAGGCCACTAGAGCTTCCCAGACTATACAGGACAGAGAAAAAAATTAAAAGAAAGTTACCTAGTAAGCACTAGATAACACAGATAACACCATACATAAAAAAAAAAAAAAAAACAGATGTATTAAGGATATAAAGGCAAAAAGCACAACTTTAAAACTCTTAGACAATGCAAAAAAATATCTTTTTGACTTTGGGATAGGGAAAGATATTTTAAGGAAGAAAAATTTGATACATTCAACTACATAAATAATTAAGAAATTATGTTTAACAAAAGATACTTTCAGGTAAAAAGACAGCATGCAAAATTGGAGAATATGTTAGTTCACATATACTCAAAGGACGAGTATTCACAATACACAAAAGAAACACTGATGCAGTGAGATGTCATTTTATACCTACTTAGGCAAAAATTAGTAAGTCCAACGACAATGCCAAGTGTTAGCTACGCATCAACAAGACTTTTAACATATTACTAGTGGTAGTGTAATTTACTACAACCACTTTGCTCAACTTCACATGATTGTGCCAAATTACTTTCTACTTACACACCCTCCAACTCATTATTTATCCAGATTTAATAAATTCTTGTCCACGTTAATAAAGGCACTTAAAATATTCACAGCAGTAGTTCCACTTCTATTCTAGAATGGCAGTGTGGGGTACTCCATTGACCGCCCCCAATGAAATAAGTTTAACTGATGAACATTTTAAAAAACAAACATCTTACAACCATCTAACATCTGTTGAAACTGTATTAACCAAAAAACAAACCAAATCCATTGCCACTACGTCAACTGAGACTCATACGGACCCTATAGGACAGAGTAGACCTGCCCCATAGGTTTTCCAAGGCTGTATTGACAGCATATAACAACAATAACAAAAATACCTTTACAGAAGCAGACTACCACTGTATCTTTCTCCTGTGGCGTGCTGATGGGTTCGAATTGATGACCTTTAGGTTAGCAGCTGAGTGCTTAACTACTGCACCACCAGCACTCCTTAAATTGTACTGAAATATACAGAAACGAACAATTATTCAAGAAAATCTACTAAAATTCACATAACAGTGAGAAACTATAGCATTTGAACCACAGCCTACTCACTCCCCTTATAGGTCAGTGTAACAAAAATTCCATTCCAAGATGAATGCACACCCAAGTTCACCGCAGAGCTATTCACAATCGCAGAAACAACCTAAATGCCTATCGGTGGATAAATGTCCAGCCAAACTATGGTACATACACACAATGGAATATGATGAAACATTAAAAAAATAAGGAAGAATCCAGGGAACATCTCATAACATGGATGAACTAGGAGGGCATTATCCTGAGTGAAATTTAATCAATCACAGAAGGACAAATATTTTATGAATCCCCTACTATAAAAGAGTCAAGTAAAGGTTTACAAGCTGAAAGAAATGTTCCTTGTTGGTTACCAGGGATGGGAAGGGTGGGAAAATTACTAGCTAAGTAAGAGACATGTATTGCTTTGGATGAATGTAAAGGCAATATACCAATAGTGAGTGACCAGCACAGTATCACTAAGGAAAAGGAAGACACAGATAGGTGCATAAGAGGTACAGACAACAAAGGTTAATAATATTGTATACACAATACTGCACTATTAGTAATAAACAATAGTCTATGGGTGGATACATAGGTAGACAGGTAAGATGATCAGGTATGGGTAGGTGAATGAAAGCATACCAATGTCCATATACAGGTTTCACAGCCAATATTTCTATATACATATTTGTATGTGCTATAAAAATGTCCATATATATAACAAAGCA